TCCTTGATTCGTAGGCTTTATTGGCTGCTTCTTTCTCCTCGTAGTCCATGTATGCCCTGGCTTTTTTAAGGAGTGCGTCGAAAGACCGAGGGGGGGGGGGGGGGGCTTAATATCGATGGCCTTTCTGAATTCAGTGTCCGGGAGGAGTCCTCTCTCGAGCAGGTACCTTTTCATGTGATCGGTGCATGAGACCTGAATGACCTAGTGGTTGAACCGATCAATGTATTCCCTGAGGGTCTCGTCGCTTCTCTGGACGATTGCCTCAAGGGCGGCTTCAGTCATCGAATGTCGATGAGACACAGTGAAAGAGTTGATGAACTGGTTCTTGAGGTTCCTCTAGGAGGTGATCAACCTCGGGCGAGGTTCTTGTACCAGTCCATGACTGTTTTTCTCAAGGTCGTGGGGAACATCCGACATTTAATTCCCCCCCCCCCCCCCCCCCCCCCCCCCCCCCGACATTGTGGTAATTGAGCATTGCTTCAAACCCATCGATGTGGTTGACAGGGTCTACAATGTCGTCATACTCCTTTAGTAGGGGGGGCTTCTCTGTTCCCCTAGGAATGAGAGCCTGCATGATTTCTTGGGATAATAGACCTCAGGATTCATCTTCGTCACTTATGTCTGGAGAGAAAGAAGGGGACCAGTTGTAGTGGCGGTCGTTATGATGGCCTTGGCTGCGAGGATGATCCCTTGGCTGAGATTGTCCTTCTTTGTTTCCCTTGTTTCTGTTGTTTCCAGGGGATCGTCGCTCCCTGTGCGGTGGGGTATGACCGTCGCTCCCATGTTTCTGTTGTTTCTAGGGGACTGTCGCTCCTAACGCAGGATGTCGACCAGCTCGTCGCAAAGAAGGGTTGCGCGAGATATCTCGCACGCGTCTCTGCGGGGGAGATTAGGGAAAGTCTTTGTTGTGCCGGGGAGGAGGAGTGTCAGGTCTTCTGTGCCTTCTGGGGGCTCGACGAGTTTGTTCGAGCACTCTCAGCCGCTCACCCTGTGAGAAGATTAGGTAGTTGGTTTGGTTGATGGTTGCAAACAGAGCTCTGGTCGTGGCGTTTGCACTAGCTGGAACGGGGACCTCTTGGAATACATTTGGTTCGCAGTTTTGGGGAGGACGACAATCCTTGCGCAGTTGCAAATAAGATGATGAATAGGCGGTTAGTCTGTCTCTGTAGTTTTGCTCGAGACCGAACATGTTGATGTCGTTATCAGTGTTGTTGTTGCCGATACAATTGTCGTTGACGTTGTTGTTATTGGGGTTGGCGAGGTGGGCATTTCGGTTATCATTGACAACTTGGTCGGCCGTGACTATCGTACAATTTAATGAAAAGTTGCTTTGGTCTTGGGAAGAAGATGAGGAAGCTGGTTTCCCACAGACGGCGCTACTGATCGTACCTGACTAAAAAAGACTGTCAAAGACCACAAGCTTCGAGCCGAGCAGCGGTTGTATGGGAAATGGGGGGAGGGGTACCTGCAAGACACTCTGATGTCAAAGTGAGGTTCAGAGATAGTGCAAGCAAGTATGGGAGTAAGAATGAGAGATAGAATACCTTACCCCCTCAAATGAGAGGGTATTTATAGCCCCAACATTGGGCCAAGATTCCCATCGTTGGGCTGGGCAAGCAGGTCCAAAATGGAGACTGTCAGGTTCTACGTGCGTAGTGGGATCAACACGTGGTCCCTAACTTGAACAGACTCCTCTGAACTATCAGGAGGATATGTATGCTGTCTCTTCGGGCCCAAGAGGACTCAATGATATTCAAAGGTGTTGAGTCAACCTTACGAGGAGGATGCTCGCGAGGTCCTTCTGTCCGTCGTGGACCATCCCCGCCAGCTGTGAGGTACTCTCCGGAGGACTTGTCTTGGTCGGCGGGAAGAGTGGAGGATGCTCATGAGGTCCTCCTGACCGTCTTTGGCCCTCCTCGCCATTCACGGGGTTATCCTCGTAGGACAAAGTCACGTCGACCAGAAGAGTGAAGTTCCTGTCTGACCTAGTCGTGGGTAGACTTCACTATCATGCTTTCTCATGTAGCACAATCGGATTGGACCTTGTATGATGTTTGAGTCAAGTGTAGGTTCAATCCAGAGCATATTCTATTATATTTTCTTTTATATAAAATAAGTTATTTCTTTCAAGTAATTTTCTGTTGTATAATTCTGTTACATATTTTGTTATATTTTCTTTTATATAAAATAAATTATTTCTTTCAACTTGTATTTGAGTTGGCATTATAATTGTTTTTCTTTCATTTGTGTGAAGTTATAAAAGTTGTTATCAACACATACTTTAATTTGTGTAAGAATTATAATTCATAATCTGAATCAAATATATTTAATTTTTTTAATATTGTATAGTAAATTATAATATCACAAGTTAAAATCTTTTCCCTCTCGTCTTTTCAACCAAACATATCTAAAATTAAAAATTCCTCCCTCTCCTCTATTAAATTTTCTCTCATCCCCTCCTTTTCATTTGAACCAAACGGATCTTAAAAAAAATTGAATTTAAATACGTGCTGTTGTTTTTTGTCGGTGTTTTTTTGTCAGAGATAAACTTTTAACATACTTGAAAAAATTCTACTGGTACAAAAATGTAGAGTTGAAGATGAGAAGAAAAAAGAAAATAAAAAATGAAAAGAAAATAACATAAAAATAAAATAAAAATACAAAAAAGTGGAAGAGAAAAGAGAATGAAATTTGAAAAATGTAATGGTGTATGTTTCTAATGTATTGATGTGACCATTCAAAAAAAACAACAATAAATTGTAGAGCACAGTCACCTACTTCCTTCAAAATGTACCATTTCGGTACCACGTTGGGATAAACGTATACAACAATAAATTGCCTCAGAATGTGTCTTTCTTCTTGTAAGAATAACTACAACTTGAAATGCAACTGAGTGAGGAATAAGAAAAAATTGGTATTGAAATTGAAATTAAAAAAAAAAAAGTTCATTATCATTTTAATCAAACGTAAAAATAAATAAATTAAATTAATATTAAAAAAAAACAAAATTATGATAAATTATAACATTTAAGTGTATTCAATATCTAAATAAGTTTCACCATCAAATTATAATAAATTATTTTAAATACAAATTAACTATCATTTATACGGTGATCATAATAAAATTTTATCTTTAATTACAAATAAAGTGGTATAATGAATATAAATAAATAAATAAATAAGTTTATAATAATATAAATAATCTAATTAATAAAATATAGTAATAAATGTTATAAATAGTGAATTCTTTTGAATAGTATATTAAATCATTAAATGTGTTTTGATTAGTATATAACTGAGTGATATTTGAATTAAAAAAATGATTTAAAAATCGATTCAATATAAAAAATAAAATTTATTTACAATTGTGGAGACCGAGTCCGGGCTTCTTATATATTTAAGGCAAGCATTTTTTGTATTATAAAATTTATAATCCTTGAGCATTACAACTTTACAGCTTTTCTCTGAAGAAGTATTTATTTATTCCTATTGTGTGGTCACTATAGCCTATAGCATAAATTTTATACTTTAATATTATATTTTAATGTTTTGTTTAATTCTCTCTTTCCGACGTGACTCTTTTTCTCTTATCTTCTAAACTCTTCATCTCTCATATACAAATCAAGTTCATATCTTCTTATTATGTTTTTTATAAATTCTACTTTTATTTTAATTTTTGAAACAATCTTTTGCACAATTTTCAGATCTGGATTTGCTTCTCACTTTTATTCACACGTTTATTTATTTAATTTCACATTTTCTATATTTGAATCTATTAATAAATTAAAATGTTTGTTGGTGTTATTCTTTATTGTGAAAAAAAGTGTGAAGAAGTTATTACCATTCTATTACTACTGAGTTTGATGTTTAGTTTTGTTCCCAAAATGAAGAAAAAAATCTGCAAATCTATCAATGAATATTAAGACTCAACAATGGCACAACCAAGATCAACCGAACCGCACAACCCGTAAACTCGAAAATCATAACCCGTCCAAACCGATTTATAAAAATAATAACATTACAAATATATCATAACAAAACTTTTCTATTTTTTTATTTGTTCCACTTCTATTTTATATTTTGACCTCTGAACTCCTCTTCTTCTTTCTTCATTGTACATATTATGGTTATTTTCTTGTAATAAAATAAAGAAAAAATTAAACAATTATTTATTCATTGAGATAAAATGTGAACTTAGATCAAACTCTCTTTTTCATATTTGGTGATGAAACCAGTGGTATATGAGTAAAGGATATTGATAATAAAAAATAAAGAAGAGCAATAATACCTTATTGACCATTTTTATTCTGCATCTTTGTGATTTTACTTTCTTGTTTTGAAGATGTTTGGAAATCTACATCTTCAGATCTTTCCTGAAGAAAAAAAGCATAAAAAATTGTTGGAATTAGAAGAAGAGAAAATAATAAAATGATAGCATAAAAGGTAATAGAGAAGTGAATGCAATTTGAAATTATAGAGGGAAAATGAAGAAGAAGAAAAACAGAGGGGAATGTCAGATGCAGCAAACAAAGAGAGAGAAAAAAAGAAAAGTGGTAGAGAAAAAAAGATTTTACAATCAATTCATCACTACTTCTCTCAACCTCTAACTTATATGATTAATGACTTTATAAAATCCTTTTACACACAATGCATTTCAATTAAATTTAAAAAATAAATATTTAAAATAATTCTAATCACATGACAACAAAAATAACAAGGTTGTGTTGGACCCAAAATATTTCAGGTCAATTAAATATATTTTAATTGAAATTAGTATAATTTTCTATTAGAAAAATTTCTTTCCCTTCCATATACGCTCTTTTTAGTTTTATTACTAGATAATACAATTTTCTTTCCCTTCCCTTTCCTTCAACCTAACAGCAGCCGCTACAGTAATTGAAGCACGCCGCTGGTTAGTAATGTCATTTTTCATTACTTGTTCACTATCCCTCTTCTCATTCTTCATCTTTCTCTCTCTCAATTTTTATTTATTTTATTTTTTAAAAATCTTCATTATGACGGATGCGTAACTCCGTGACGGCAGCTACACGCGCCGTGTAGTTCTCGTGAAATGCATCTGGCATCTCTGTAGCGTTCGGCGGCGGCTCCTCTCTACACCGCCGCGATCGCGCCACTATTGGCGGCGATTTAGTACCTAGCTAGGTTTATTTCATAGAAAAATTATGTATGCAATTCTTATTGTTCTGAAGTTACGTTCCATATATTCCGCCTTACCTGTGCTTAGGTGATTTAGTACCTAGCTACTGTGCTGCTTTGGCTTCTTATATGTCTGAGTAATGTTGATTCTAATTTGTTAACTTAACGACAGAGTTTGACACATTTGAGTTGGGCAAAATCATCCCCAATTTTGGAGACATTTTTCTTCAAACAGTATAATAGATTAACGGAGGATACGAAATGAAGCAATTAAATAAGATATCACAGTTGTGAAGAGAGACCCTACAAAAAACAAAATCAGATTCACTAAATGTAGAGACTACCGATGGGTGAAGAGAACCTGAGTGACTGAGATGTAGAGATATTTATGGTCTTGATGAAAATATGTATTGGATAGTGTTGGAGGAGTGTCCCCGATCTCGGAAAAGTATTGGTATGCTTTTCGGATATTTATCAGGGAAGTATCTGAGATATGGATACTACATGGATATTGTCCTTTTCTAGAGTATCCTGGCTTCATATGTTGTGACTTGTGATCTAGGTAGTCAATAGGGGCGCGAAATAGGACCGTGGGCGCTCCTAGGGTTTTTGTGGGTCGTGACCGGGAGTTGATTATGGGCTGCTATCTTGTTTTTAACTTGAAAAGTCAAAATAGGCTTCGTAGCTTGTGATCTAGGTAGTCAATAGGAGCGCAGAATAGGATCGTGGGCGCTCCTAGGGTTTTCGCGCATCGCAGCCTGGTGTTGATTATGGGCCGCTATTTTGTTTTTTTACTTGAAAAATCAAAATTACCCCTTAAAATTAAAACATTTAAAAGGTAATTTGGGCTTTCTGCTTACCTTTGAGTTGTAAACTGTTTTAACCTAGCCGTTCGTTTTGTTCAAGGCTTCAAGCACGTCTTTCCCTGTGCTTCATCCTCCTTCAACTTTCATCTCCCCTCTGTGGATATACATGGCGCATTTTGGGCTCGCTGCAATGCTAAATATTGGCTGATGTTGGGGTTGTTTCCGTCATAATCCGCTATAACAGCGCTGCAAAGCGGCCGGTATGGTGGTATTTTGGTTCTCTGCCATGGACCGCCATCCGCCATCGACAACACTGATTTGTTTGGAATACATGTAGTATTGCATGATGTAGTAGTTAGGATGTATTTAATACATGTCATGATATGTGGTATTTTAAACTAAGCATTTTACTATTTTAAAATTTTAATATTTTAATATTTATCTAACTATGACATTACTTGAACTATGTAAATTAGCATTGGTTTGTGATACTGTATGAATGTGTAGATTTGATCTGATTGGTTTCTCTATTTGAGTACTGTGTCAGTTACAGACTCAAACTATTTTACTTGGTAAGATTTGATCATAAGAGCCTTACTAATGCAAAATCTTTGGATGTTTAACGTCCTTTGCTATGTTTCTGATGTAGACAGGCTTCAAATATAACCTGAGTTAAAGTATCCTTGGCTATGTTTCTGATGTTAACAGGCTTCAAATATAGCCCGAGTTAAAGTAATCTTAAGTCTTTAAAGATTTTGTAAAATGACATGTATATGCATTCATTTTTGTTTAAATCTCTAATTTCTCTTGCCAAAAGAAACATGTATTAATTTATTTTCTGCAATGATCCATAACTTCTAAATTTCAGCTATGGCCATAACTTCTAAATTTCAGCTATGGCCATAACTTCATACCTATTTCTGTGGGTAGGGTTTTCATATTTAAAGTTTTCTCCATCTGAGTTGATTGATCTCTATTTATTAACGAGACCGAGTTTAAATCCCTATTGCACTGCCCTTCTTTTTTGGTACTCAATATCCTGTGTGACACTTTTATGCTTGTTTGTTCATCTTGGTGCGCAAGAAGCAAAAGTATTATAGTGTAGTGTGTGGGTTTTCAGGGATGTATCCAAAAGTATACAAGACTCGTAGCTCAACTGCTATAGACCGAGGAAAGTACATAGTTTGGACAAGTGAAATGGACAATTGCCTCACTGATGTGCTTATGGATCAGGTGGAAAAGGGGAATAAAGTAGATAACATCTTAAAGCCTGCAGCATTTGCAGCTGCACTGAAAGCATTAAATGAAAAGTTTGGTATGCATATGACAAAAGGGCACATAAAAAATCGGCTGAAGACATGGAGGAAACAGTTTGGGGTTTTGAAGGAGCTCCTTGCCCATAAGGGGTTTGTTTGGAATAAGACACAAAAGATAGTTGTTGCCAATGATTCAGTTTGGAATGACTACATCAGGGTAATATAGTTTACCTGTGGTACCGTTTGCTCCCCATTAATTTTGTTTTTTGCTTGTTGTCTGATAAGTAATATTCTTATGTTACCTGCAGGAGCACCCTGATGCCAAGATTTTCCGAGCAAAGTCCATTGAAAACTATGATAAGTTATGTATTATTCTTGGAAATGAACAATCAATTGCAAGATTTTCCGACAATGTTACAGAAATTGATGTAAACTTCACAGTTGATGACGAGGAGCCAGATCCTGTCATTTTGTCTGAAACACAAACTGATGGAAACCTGACTAAGCACCTTAGGTGGACAGAGGAAATGGATCACTGGCTTGGAAAGATTCTCGTAGATCAAGTGAGGAAAGGGCTTAAAATAGATAATGTTTTCCAGACAGAAGCATATGACAAAGCTGTTTCCGCCATGAATGCAAAATTTGGGCATCGTTTAACAAAATTTAACATTAAAAATCGTCTTAAAACATGGAAGAAACAGTATGAAATAGCAAAGGAAATTCTTTGTCATGCTGGATTTAAATGGGACGAAACAAAGAAAATGATCATTGCAAATGATTCTACATGGATTGACTACATCCGGGTATGTTTTCACCTATCCTTCCTCAAGAACTGTTTCATACCAATGGTTTATGAATTATATATCTTCCACCAAACAAAAAGTCATTTGAATGGTTTATTTCCCTCTTATTTCTTTTGGAAGATGGAAATTTTTTTATGCAATAGTAAAATTCTTCTTCTGATCTTCTCTATATTCTTTTCAAAAGTCATCATCAATTGTTCTCGCAAACGAATTTAATTCGGAATGACATAAAGTATGTGTGATAACTTTTTTGAATTCACTTGCTGTTATGCTAAGAAGGTATCTTCACATCATCAAATATTAGGCATTTGAAACTTTTTCTATTATTTGTAAGGCAATTGAGTTGTTATATTTTCACATCAATACTATTTAGGTTAATACAGAGAAGTTGGGTGCCTTTGTCAAGATGGATACTATTACGTTTTCTATAACTTTACACGTGGCAAAACATCCTAGTTTTTTTAACGGATGACAAGTTTTTTTTTTTTTTGGGGGGGGGGGGGGGGGGGGGGGGGGGGCAGATACTTGGATATCTGGAAATGGTATGTAGCAAATGTTGACAATTTACAGCTACATAGCTCTTTGTTGTGTTTAAATTATGAGGCCTCTAACTTTAAGATTAATGTGTGCCGGTCCTCCTGGCCATCATGTTGATACATGGTAGGTATAAACATTTAAGTTAGAAACTTTTTCTTGGATAATCGAGTCATGAATGGAAAAGAATGATCCCAGAATTAAGGGGATCATAGCAAATAACTTATTTTTTGTTAACCATGAACTTGAGTCATAGTAATTTCTAATGTTTATCTACATATACCTTTTCAGAGGTGGTTTCTATTCTAGAGTAAGCATTTGGCGTGACTTTGGTATGGAATAAAATAGTGTTGATACTAATATGACAGAAAATAGGAAACCAGTGTCAAATAGTGGCTATAGTGGTGCTCTAGTGCCGCGGCTCTATGATGCACAAACGAGTACAAACTTCAAAGTGTATTTAAATTGAAGAAATGGCGGCAGAATTTGAACAGACTGCTTTTTTCAGTGATCTGCTCTTGACACCATTGGAAACATGATCATGGCTTTTAAATTTTATGATTTCAGGGATATGTACATTTTTTCAGCTCTTGAAAGATAAATGTTCAGCTAATAGTTGATTTGTCTTGCTACTATTTTGCCAGCTACATAGTAGTGTAGCAGTGTTAATCTTCTTCTTGAGTAAGTCAAATGCTTATTGCACCTTTTAATTCCAGTTAAATCCCCCCTTTTCGGCGAGTTCTATTAATCCCCCTTTTTTGTAATAACCAGTTAGACCCAAAAAACCCATCACGTGTTTTACATTTTTTGGCATATGCCATTGCAGCACACTACTTATACTTATTTTGCTGGGATCCATCACCACATCTTCTCTAGAGATGATGTACCCCAAAAAATTGAGCGAAATGGCACTTATTATTGGCGACAGAGACACTGATGGAAGTAGGTGTATAATCCCTCTGACTGATTTGTCGCTTTTCACTCACAGTTGTGTTTTCAAGTTCATGCAACTGTTTCCCCCATCTGCGCTAACCCTCACATCTCGAACGTAAACCAAATTGAACTAATGGCTTCAATCTGTGTTGTATGGGCCAGATCGGAAATAAGAGCCTGGCCTATGCTGGAAATCTTATGCAGAATGATTCTCCATCCCATTGTTTTGCAAAATGCTACTGCTTCCTCTATTGTACTACAACTCTGCATGGTGGGGAGGGGGGCACGGGAATCGAGCCATATGAGGTGATCTGGCAGGTGACCTTTTTAGGGTTTTGAACTGGGACTTAAGTCTCCGCTTATCAATATCACCCCTCAAAGACATATATATTAAGGGTTTTCTCTTATGTTATTCTTTTCTCTTGTATCAGTTCATTTTGGGTGTTCAAGGATCATATTTGGTCTCTGTAGTTTTGATGCATTTTATTCATATTAGTCAAATTAAACATTCAATTATTCTAAAAGACCATTAGTCATGCAAAAGGGTTAGATCACACTATTCAACAATTCAAAGTTGGTGGTTGATTTTGCATAGTAGACACTCATGTTAAACTATGTTTGTGAAATAAGGATAGGGCAAAAGAAAATGAGATAGGGTGGGTTATCAGGTTATTTGTCTGTAATTTTGTTTCTTTTATTTTATGCAAACGGGTTAAACCACATTAGTGTTTGCAGCTGGCACATAGTTGCTCTCTTGTATTTGCTTAATAAAATCTTTGTTCCTATCAGCATACATTCTTATTCCTCATTTTTCTTATCATGTCAGACACATCCAGATGCAAGGACTTACCGTGCCAGGGTCCTGGAGAACTATGAGCAGTTCTGCACTATCTTTGGCCATTTTAATGAGCCTTTGAATCGTAATGACTCTGTGCCTTGTGATGAGCCTTTGGAGTTTGAAAGTGTCTGTCCAGTAAACTATGATAGCAATCTTAAAGATATAATGAAGCATATGAGGTGGACAAGTGATATGGACAGCTGTTTAAGTGAAATTCTCGTGCAGCAAATTAAACTTGGTAATAGAAGCAGATTTGACCACAAACTAAAACCTGCTGCATTGGAGGCTGCTGTGCTAGCTATTAATGAAAAGTTTAAGCTTTATATGTTGAAAGATCATATTAAAAACCGTCTTAAAACCTGGAAGAAACAATATGATATCCTGAAAGAACTTTTGTGTCAGAGGGGCTTTGAATGGGATCAGAACCGAAAAATGGTCATTGCAGACGACTCCGTGTGGAATGAATATATAAAGGTGCATATTATAGATTACTTTAAATTTCTATCTGGCATTTGTTGTAGCATGATGTTATTATTGTTAAGTTTATATAAATACATTTTTCTGAAGCAGATATATCCTGATGCTCGAATTCTTAAAGGACGGGTTATCAGAAACTATGAGGAACTGTGCATAATCATTGGTCACATTGACCCACCGGGTATGATCACTCCTCGTGCTAACATGGGTATGACTACAGATGATAATGTTATGGAATCACAAGAGACAAATTACCATGGAACTGACAATACAACGGAAAAAGGAAAGAGTGTAACATGGACAGATGAAATGGATCTTTGCTTGACAGAGCTGCTAGTCAAGCAAGTGATGTTGGGAAACAAGCTTGAGAAAAATTTCAAGACCTCAGCTTACATAGCTACTTTAGCAGTTATAAATGAGAGATTTGACCTGAATTTAACAATAGAAAACATTAAAGGCCGGTTGAGAACATGGAGGAAGCAGTACAGCCTTATGAAGGAGATGCTTTCTCGTGGGAGATTTGAGTGGGATGAAAGACGTAAGTTGGTTGTTGCATCTGACTCAACATGGGATGAATACATTAAGGTCGTTATTCAGTCTTCCTTCATATTCATTTTAGTTTCAGAAGTTATTATGGTACATTTATTCGTTTCAGAAGCAGTACCATATGTTATATAATATATGTGTTCCTATATCTTCCTGACTTATATGTAAGTAAATCTGTACGTTTTCCTATATATTCCTGATTAAATTTTTGACGTGTTTTTTCAGAAACATCGTGATGCTAGGCATTTGCGAGGCAAACAGATAGAAAACTACAATGAATTAGGTTTGATTGTTGGCAATGAGGAAGCTAGTGGAAATTGGTCGGAAGACACTGAGATGTTTGATGTAAACATTACTCCTAACTTTATAGAGGATGCTGATGCTGATGTAAATCTTACCTCTAACTTTGAAGATCACGAAGATGTAAATCTTACTCCTCATATTGAAGAAGATGGGGATGTAAATCTCACTCCTCACTCTGAAGAGCATGCTGAAACTCCAACATTGATGTTACCTAATGAAGAGGAAATGAGCCATGATAATGCAAGTGACGAAGTGCAGGGTTCATCTGAGCAAACAGGGGTAAGGCCTTCATCATCACATTCCAAGCAGCCATCGAAGCGGAGACGCACCGATGATGTCATACTGCACATGATGAGTCTTATGGCTGCTGATATTGGACGGATAGCTGATGCATTGACTGAAAGTAACAGAACATTGTGCTTGGAGGAAGTGGTTGAAAAGGTGCAAAATATTCCTGGCTTTGACGATGATCTCATCATTGAAGCTTGTGAATATTTATGTTTCGATGAGAAGAGAGGATTGATGTTTTTGAAATTAGATGAGAGATTGAGAAAAAAATGGTTGTTGAAACGTTTGCGTGGTGGTTAATGTAGTTAAAAAGATCATTGTATTCTTTCGTACTGGCATTTGTAGCATCCCCAGTTCAGGCTGTTTCATTCTATATACAAAACCAAAACTGTTTGGAAAGGGGAAACATTTGTGTAAAGACAAGCTGTTTCAGCAACTGATTCCTTGTATATTAGCAGCTTTTAAAGTGAATAAAAAAAAGAGAGCATGTTTTGCACTTGCTCAGGGTGAAGGAAAAAACGTATATTTCAGAATTTGACTTGAAGAGACTCAGATTAATCTCGAACAGAACCATAAGTGTATATTTGTTCTTTTTAGTTGAAATGTGCACTAAGGTTTGTATTTCTTTAATAATGGCAGATGTTGAATAACCAGTTTATTTGCTGTGTGCACAATTTTATCACAAGAAAGTTATCCAAATAATAATGAATCAAAAGACAATAAAATACCGTGTTCAGAGTAGGGATGAGGCGGGTCGGGGGCGGGTTTAAGTACACTCAGATCCGCACCCGCTATTCAGATTCAGACCCGTCCCCGCCTCTAAGTTCGGTCGGGGTTAATATTTGTTCTCTTGCCTCTGCCCCCAATGAAAACGGGTTTCTCCGCATCCGTTCGAATAAAATTTTAATTTTTTTTAAATTTATACTTTTTTTTCAATAAAAATAAAAATCAATAATTAAATTAAATAATTGATTATTTTAGAAGTTTTTATGTTTGATATTTTTATTTAAATTGTATTTTCAAAAAAATAAATAATAATTCTAATAAACATGATATTATAACATTAAAAAGTGTAAATGAGTAATAAAACTATTAAAAAATAAATTAAATTTAGTTGGCGGATATGGGGCAGGTGCGGTGTCGGGCGGGTACTAGCATCACTCGCCCCCGCACCTGCACTCGTAAATAAAAATCGGGTTTTCCCCGCCCCCACCCCCGATTAAATTGGATTTTTCACATTAATTTCGGGGCGGAAACGGGTGGGACCTGGCGGGGGCGGGTTTATTTGCCATGTATGATTCAAAGATTATATAATTATATGGGGGAGTGGGGGTAACTCAATTGATATGTAAGTATTAGTTGATTTAAATGAATACAAGTCTAAAGTTCAATCTATAATAACAATATTTTATTCTTTTTATGTATGTAAACAAATTATATTTATAAATCTAACATTTTCTTATAAAATTATATAATTACATAAAAAATGCTCCCGTGTCTTTCATCTAATTTATTTTTATAACAAACTACTAAAAGATCTGTGCATTCGCACGGGTCGTGCAATGTTGTATATACTATGAAAAGTAGAACATGTAATTTAGATATTGATGAAACTTCAATTATATTAGGATTGAAACAAAAACATTATAATTCTCCTTCTAATATGAAAACTACTAACAAAAACATAAGATAATTTATCTTAAAACAAACATAAAAACATCTAAGAGATAAAGACAAATTAATCGGAATCATCATTTATTACATACTCTCTCTGTAATTAATCTAACCTGATCAGACTTGGACCGTCACGGCTGGCTCCGAGCTGAAGTTTTGAACGAGGCGGGGGGGGGGGGGGGGGTACCTGCAAGGCACTCCGATGCTGAAGTAAGTAAGAGTACGAGCAGGCAAAGTGTGAGTATGGGTGATAGAATGAATACCTGACCCTCTGGGAACAGAGGGTATTTATAGCCTCCAGCGCTGGGCCAAGGTCTCTTCATTGGCCCGGGCGGGTTTGGCCCAATGAAGGATCTGCCAGGTTCTACGTGTGTAGTGGAGACCCGCACGTGGTCTCCTTCCTGGATGTCCTGCGTGAAGTGCGGGAGGACAAAGACGCAGTCTTTTCGGGATCCCAGTGAAGGTGCAGTGGACCGAGTCTGTCCTAGGAGGGGTGCTCGAGCCGAGGTCGAGCTGGATAGTATGTGGTCGAGGATGTCGTTTTAGTGAAGAGTGTCGGGCAATGCCGTGAGCCCTTGGTCGGCGTGACCCCTAGCAAGTCCGTTTGGATTGGGCCTTCATCATTGCTTTTGGGCCAGCCCGACCCAGTCCAGAACAGGAGCCCCCCAAGTCGTGGTTCCTTGGGTTAGGAGCCATGACTTGATCTTAGGTCGCTTCCGTCGCGGGGTCCCGTATGCAGACAAGAGATGTAGTTCCTCGTGGGGTGCTCGAGGGGTTTCCCCGTATCGCGCTCGTGGGCAGGTTCCCTTCGAGGAATGTTTGAGGGGTTCTCGGCGGGCTGCATCTGTCGGGCACACGAGGCATCTCTTGGGAACTGTGCCGCCACCCTATGGAGAATAGGGTCATCATTGCCTAGGGGAGCTGTGCGTCGAGGAGGGAAATCTGTGGTTGCCCGAGGTGACGTTTGATATTCCACGTCATCACTATAAATAGGGTTTCTGGGCCCCATAACGTGTTTTCCCTCTTCGCGCTTCTCCTTTTCCCTCTGTTTCTGCTGTTGCTGTTCTTCCCAGAGACTCATAGGACTACCGTGACCGCCGTCGCTGAATCCCTTTCTCCGTCGTCACATTTCCTTCCTGATTCCAAGTAAGTGTCTTGTCTCCTTTGTTTTTCCATTGTGATGCATGGTTTTTCATTGTTTTTGGACGTTTAGAGACTGTACGCCTGGGATTAGCCCGGCAGTTTTATATTTAGCTCGACAAATCCATGCGTATGGCCGGCAAACGCATGTCTGTGCCCGGTAAATGTATAGTTTAGGTTTTAATTTGCAGTGCTGCCCGGGGTCTTCATGATCCAGGGCGCCTAATTCGTGATCGTGCCCGGTAGACTCATAGCTCTAGCTCTAGGCTTTATGATGTTGCTCGCCATGTTCATACCATGGGTCGACGTATTCATGAGTGGCCGAGATGTCGGTTTATTTAGGCGACCTGTAGGAGGACCTGTCGAGGTATCTGGGAGTCGGGGAGATGACTGCTGTTTTTGTTCAAAAACGCCAACTCATTTAGTCGCGCGCGGAGTGACTTGGTTGGTCGTGCCCTTCTTCCCGTCCGTTGTGGCGAGCGTGTGGACTTGCTCTCCAACTGACCGGTTTCCTGTGCTTTGCAGGTAACGATGGCCGACGAACCGTGTTCCTCGGGGCGCGCAGAGGTTGAGGACCAAAGTGCCGAGGAAAACGTGAATTTGGTCGACACTATCGATGATCCCCTGCTGGAATGGGTGGGCGCTGAGCCCAGAGGGATCGCTTCGGCCTATAGTCGACGCAGTCAGAGCGCATATACCATCCTTGAGAAGGGCAGTAGCCAGCCCGGTTTCCAAAAGAACTTCGTCGTCACCCGACCAACGCTCACTGCCCGTATCTGCTCAGAGTTCTCCGAGTATGGATTCCCTATGTATGAGATTACCTTCAAGTATCTTGGACTGCAGCTGCCCTTCAGCGACTTTCAGGTCGGGGTCTTCAGTCACCTGGAACTTGCCCCGTCGCAGCTTCATCCCAACTCGATCTCTTTCCTTCAGGCGTTCGAGCTGACGTGTCGCTTCTTAAAGATTGGGGCGACTATACCCCTCTTCTTCCGCGTCTTCCACTTGTAACGTCAGACCCGGGGAGGCCGGCACAGTTGGGTTTCCCTGAAGCAGTCGAAGAGACTGTTCAGGATGTACATGGATTCTGTCTGGGGCTTCAAGGACAAGTGGTACATTGTACAGCCGGTTTCCAACGCGGGTTTAGAGTCCATGTACGGGGAAGAATCGGTCGTGACCACCGACAACGGGGAGGCTCTTCTGGACAGTGAGGGATGCCCGGTGTTAGGGCGTGTGGCCAAATTTCCCCTGCACTGGACCTCGAGGCACTATGAGCATGGGACCGGGTACTACCACACGTCCGCGTGCGAGATGAGCCCCGAGGATGAGAAGGCTTATGATACTCTCTGTCGGTATGTCGACAGCTTCTTCCCCGCCAGGTGGGCCACGAGGGAGGGGAAGGATATCCTTGACAAAGAAGGTTATCCGACCTTTGAGGCCCGGCCTATCGACACGAAAGCGCTCGTGGAATGCCAGTCTTTCGGGCAGGCCAAGAACCTGCTAGGTATTTTTCTTTTTCGTTGCTTTTTGACTTGTTTGATTTTCTTTGTTTGTTTGCTCGTTACTAACCCGAGCTTCTTTTGTGCAGGTCAAATGGCTGGTCGAAGGGAGAGGCTCTTGAAGTTGACTCAGGACAAGAAGGTCAATAAGAGAGTGGTTAGGGCTCCTCAGGCGACGAGGATGGGCTCCTCAGGGCATGTCTGAAGAGTTTGAAGATTCAACTCCTGTATCCAGCCAGGGCATATCTATCAACTGTCATAATTCCAGATTCGATTCCTGTATCTAGCCAGGGCATGTCTGAAGAGTTTGAAGATTCGACTCCTGTATCCAGCCAGGGCATATCTATCAACTGTCACAATTCCAGATTCGATTCCTGTATCTAGCCAGGGCATGTTTGAAGAGTTTGAAGATTCGACTCCTGTATCCAGCCAGGGCATACCTATCAACTATCATTTCCAGATTCGATTCCTGTATCTAGCCAGGGCATGTCTGAAGAGTTTCCATATTCGATTCCTGTATCCAGCCAGGGCATATCTACCTCAGGATATTGGAGATCAAATACCTGTAACAAGCCAGGAAAACATCTTCCTTTCTCAAAATACACAAGTTCTCGCTAAGGAATCTCTTACGCGATCAACACTTCCCAAATGGCATCTATAAGCCCATTCCCGACAAGATTCTGTCACGTCTTCAGATGGCATCTATAAGCCCATCCACCTATCCACTATCTCTCCAAATGGCATCTATAAGCCCATTCCCGACATCACATTGCTGATACTTCAACATGCGAGTGCAAATTTTCGGGCACTCTAGTGTCCAATCTTCTTTTACCTTCAAGTCGCGAAAGGCAAACTTGCCAATCTAACTCTTCAGGTCTAAGAAGATTGAACAGGGGCAACTGTTGTACCCCAAAATTTGCCCTCGCATTTTTCTACAAGCAATCTCAGCTTCAGACATTTCCTGACTTTTCAAACTGGCACAAGAATCGG